TATTTTTAAAATTCATACATTTTTTCCTATGGTCTACAGTCCAAAAATAATAGTAGAAATTAATAACTCTCTGAAATCCAAACACTATAGTGTTCAAATTCAAATCTGTGATGTAATAGGGTTTAAAGACTGGAACTGTTCCATAGACAAAGAATTGGGAAATACATGTATGTCTCGAGATGACTCTAGCCCCTTTTACTGCCTCTTCAAGGCAGGAATTTAACACCATTATGCCGCCTCACCATTCTGTATAAAACGTACAAACTGTGTGGTCCGGGAGATCCTTACCCTCCGAGCAGAGGGAGCGGTAAATGATTGTCATTGCCATGTTATGCCTTTATTATTGTATATAAAGCACTGCCGATGCATATGTTATATGTCACACTAGAGGCCGATACTGTTGTTGCATGATGCTGCTGTTGTTTGGTTGTGTGCAAAAATGCAAAGGTGGCATTAAGAAGGGACTTCATAGCAGCCCTATAGTGGGATCTCTGTGTAAAAACAGGGTACTGAGAGCATCCAGGGGAATATGAGTAGTTCTATTTCAGAACTGAGAACACTACTATAGAATAATACTCATTTGGTAATGAAAAAGAAAACAAAAATTCTGTTGTGCCACAAAATCAGGCTCCCATTCATTGTCAATGGAGCAGCTCTGGACTTTATACTTGATGACATCACAAGTTTGAGACTTTGGCTTAGAGTAGCGCTTGTTCACAAATATTGATTGAATTTTCTCAGGCCATGGAAATAACATGTAATAATTTTTAATTTAGGTGGCGTTACTCTTTAAATAGACTATATAAGTCTATATATATATAAGTATCTTAAATTATACAAGTAAAATTTTGAGTTTTTTCCCTGCTGCTTGTAAAAAAAATTCCACAGACCAGTTTCCATTTGTTTCAACCCCAAAAGTTCACTTCTCACCGAGACACTACATTGGAACACGTAGAAACCAAAACTGTAAAACCCCTAAATGTGGCATGACATTCCCTTTTCTATGCATAGGCTATCTAAAAAATGCAGGCTTCTTACCATCATATCTTTCTTATATTGTAAAGTGACACCCTTTTTTAATTTGAATACCTTTCTCGTATTTTAGATTTTAATAAATGTTTTTTTTTTTGTTTGTTTGTTTGTTTATCATTTATTATTTAATGACTCTTGCCTGAATATACCTGAATATTGCTGCCTTTTGAATTTTTATATTGTTTGTTTTGATATTAGTATGGTTGAGTGTAACCTTTGATGTATTTTATTACTATTTGTTAAATTGTTATTATTCCATAAAGCACATTCTGAATTACTTTTGTGCTAAACATAATGTGTAAATAAAATCTATATTCTTATTATAATTTACAGTAGTGTTAAAAGTGGCAGTAGAAGTTATTTTCCTTTCATAATGTAGTTTCATTTTTGTACCAACGCTCTAGTCCTGACTTTACTTTGAAGGCCAAACACTCAATATCCGGTTACTAATTTAAAACGGGGTAACTTGACGCAATAACAGTAGACTTCCTCCCTTGTATCTGCTAGGCGATCATCTGATTTGCCGGGCTGGACAGGGCAGCGTGAACATGTGACCAGTCCAGTCCACTCTTGCTTCAAATGCAGACCAAATGGACACTCTAGTTTCTGATAGAGATCATGTAGTTATGTATGTTACGTCATATTTAGCCATGATATAGATGTCACGTCAGGGGGATGGGCATTATGGCCTTCTTCTATGAGTAGATTCATATGTCCAATTGATATATCAAATACAATAATTGAAATATGAAGTGTAATAAAATTCATAACATAACTATAACATCACATACCATGACGAGCATGCTTATTGAAATCATTGTGGTAAACGTGCTTTAATGTGCCCTGGGGGGTATGTAGTGTCATTTCTTTTAGACGTACTTGACATTGTTTTATTGCCTCTTATGGTAATATTGGACGCACACTGAACTTATCAGTAGGTTTACAAACTGAGCAGGAATATTACAGTTGTTTTCAGCAAGGGAGCTGCATGTATACTTGGGTAAAGAGCGACACCCAGTGGCTGATGGTGGTTTGGGTTTAGTAGACACATAAAATGGGACATGGACGACATCTAGAGGCACAAATGAGTAACTGCAATGCTTTCCATTGGCTGCTTCTGGCCTTGAAATGTCAGGTGTCACCCAGTCCTCTATGACTGTAATTATGGAGGTTTCCTTATAACTGTAAACACTGACTATATTTTTTTTATCTATTCTATATTCAAATAAATAATATAGGTTATATATGTAATTATTGTGAATTAACGTGTTTTGTTAGTGTTTTTTTCGGTGCATGAATGTTCCATTTGAAGATGCCCTGCATCCTTGATTTAACACAGTCATATGGCACTTCTGTCTCACCTTAAATAATTCATTCAGTCCAGGTTTCTTTGGAGGGTTTTGTTATGATCATCCAAAATGCTTATGAGCTTTTTTTTTTTTTAACCTGACACTAATATGCTGTCCTAAAGTATTTGCTACAGACAGCTTCAGTCTAAAACCAGTAATTTATTTATTTATTGATACAGTTTGAGATTACAGGGACAATGGGCCTTAATTAACATTTCTGTGAATGTGCCAGTTTAGCCTACTTGGCTACCTTTCTACTGTAGTCCCTTGACAGGTGTGATGACAACTGCAAAATAAAATAAAAATAAAAAAAAAACACATACGATACATTAAAACAGGAACAGCAATATTGCAGTCCACACGTAACAGAGCACACTTTCTAAGAGGATAGAAAACATGTTAAAGCCGAGACAACAATACACCAAACAAAAAAAAAAACAAAGCACGCAGATTTTGGATAAGTTTTCTTTAACTATGATTTTAGGTTATTTTTAAATGAACCATATTTGTCACAGTGTCTGATAAGATAATGATCATCACTTCATACATGCATGCACACAATGTACACTTACATAGTTCACTATGTGTGCACATTTAATGAGTACACATAGGATAATCATGCAAGTACTGTAGCTATGTGAATATGCATATTCGACTCCTGCAGTTGCTCTGAAGCTGTCCAGATTTGAAACAAACAAACAAATAAACAAAGAATAAATGAATAATATCTGCACAATTACTTGATAATAGAGAGAGGTTGATGGGCTGATAGCAGAAACTGAATTACTCAAGTTACTAATCAAATTAGTGTATCCAGACTGCATATCTGATCTCAGGCTAAATCTCAGAGTCTGCAAAGGAAATCTTGTTCATGTCCAAAAAATAAATAAATAAATAAAAATAAAATGAAATACATGTATCTGAATTTTGTTTTAAAAAAATGTAATAGAAGCTCAAATTTTTAAAATGGCATGTCAGCACTTGAAAAATAATTACAGATCAACAATTAAACAAAAAAAGAAACATTTTTACATATAAAAACACCAGATTTAAGACTACACGCTTGCTGTTTTTTGTTGGGTTTTTTTAAATCAATAATTCAAATTTTTACTGACTTTGGTTCGGGTGGTACATGACAGTTCTATGTCAAATGAGACATTCTATCTTGACTAACAAACATAAAACAAGCAGGGCAATAGAGATCTGCACAAGAGGGGGTACAGCACCAGTCCCAATCCACCACAAATCAATAAAAATAATAACTTAAAATTTGAATAAATAAACACATTAAAAACAACAGTGATAATGATACATACTGCAGAGCTGATCTAACTGACTTTGGCCTTTGTCATATTAACAAACTAAACCAGGGGCAAAACTTTACTATGGGCCCATTTTGAGCCTCCTCTTACCTTCTCTGTTGTCATCCACACACCCTGTCTCCTTCAGGTGCCCTGAGTACATCTTTGCCATGTTCTCTTCACCTGTAAGTAATAAGTAATAATTTAAAAAATCTATCTCTTCTGTCTCTGTCTCCTCTAGCCTTTGACTAGCTATGATTTTCCCGATTTTCAACTCTTTTTTAGACTTTGCATTGCACTTATGTACTGTTACACTTCCCTTAAAATGCTGTATTTTACTTGATTGTATGCATTCTCTGTATTATTTTGCCATTATTATTATTGTTATTGTTGTCATTATGCTATTTTCATTAAATTATTATTAAATTATTACCTTATTTTCTACTATTAATGGCAAGTGGGTTTTATTTTCCATTGGAACTGCATGATGTAGAAAAAAATCACATTGCAATTGTTCTGACAGATATGATTACGATATAGGTCGCGATTTTAGTTGAGATAGTGATTTTTGCATTTTTATTTTCACTGAAAAAATAATAATACAAATGCTGATGGGATTTCTGCTGGGGTCTGCGCCAAATGAGCTTGTTCCCTTACATCTGGAATATGATTTACAGGATGGGGCGTCTCTGTAGCACTGCAATGCTTCGTCTATAATGGTATGTTGTGACAAATTTACCTTTGTCAAATAACTACAGCTTCTGCAGTGTGGATGTTATACTTGGCCATGTTGTGAGTTTGATAACATTTTAACATTTTAATTGTGCAGCCCTGTTTTCCATCTTAGTTTACATTAAGTGTGGCAATCTACCCCAGCTTTTAATATTAATTATATGTGTATTTTCATGATGAAAAGCATTCTGTGCATGTGATGTTACTGTTATTACCCAGTGGGTTTTGTTTTCCATCTTATTTTGCATTAATTTTGGCATATTATCCCTGTTTCATGTTCATTTTATATCTATTCTCATGTGAAGCACATGGTGCATGTAAGTTCCTTTTTCTAAAGCACTCTGAGCTGCATTTATTGTATGAAAGTTGCTGCACAAACAAATGTTATCCTTATTATTATACTTCTTATTAAATGTATTTTGCTGTATGTTAGTAACCCCCGGTCACTGGCTATGATATGATTATGTGACCTTCTGTATGACATGGCCTGTCCTTCATCAGTGTATTTGACAGCTCCTCTCTCCTCCTCCTCCTCTGTTTGTTTTCCCCCTGCACAGCCTCTTGTTTCCCACAATGCTCAGCGAACATCACCACCAAGATGGCTGACGCTATGGAGGAATATGAGAAAGAGGCTGGCTGCGTCCCTATTCTCCATCCCGAGGTACGGTCCTTGGACTTAACGCCTTCGCACGAACACATGAACATTTACCGAACATATTACACCTGCCTGCGTGTGGGTGGCTGTGAGATTTGGCCGCGCTTTTTCTGGGAACTCCGATGCCCCCTGCAAAACCACCGGTGGGGGGTGGCAGGCAGCTAACGGTGCTAACGGTGCTAATGCTAGCCCCCTCCTCCTGCTGCATAGCAAGCAAACGCTGGGCAGATGTTCCTGTTCATGTTAACGTTAAGCTAGGTGGTGCTTTCGGTGGCAGGGACGGCCGTGCAGCTAGTAAACAAGATTATAAGCGGCGTGATCACGTCTGTAATGGAAAGAGTAACGTTAATGCTTAATCCTTACAGGCATACGACGTTAGCTTTGTAGCTAAACTGGCAGTCCTGGCTGGTATAGGTTAGCTGCGGTGATGGAAACTGGGGTCAAGTGTGTATGGTATATTAAGCTGTAACGTCCAGTCGGTGGTCATACTAAGTTAATATTAACAGCCACAAATAAAAAAAGGCCCCTTTTTATTCTTGAAAACCACATTCGTGTCTTAGTATGAAATTATGTAGTCATCTTTAGCTAGCTAACCTACAGCAGTTCCACTTGGTTGGAATGGTCAGGAACGTTATCTGTCAGTTTAGCATGTAGCATTCGTTGTGTCTGTCATATCACGTTTGATAATGTTATAAATATTTCTTTATGTTTGGATTTAAAATATCAGTGGTTTGAGAGTTTCACAATACAATAACAACATAGCACGGTTTCACAGTATACGGTATTACACAATTATATATTTATATATCGTAAGAATTACTGTCAGTTACAGTGACTCTGAAAGAAATAAAAACATAAGGGTTAAGTGGATGAACAAAGGCCATATTGCTATAATAGAAATTTGTACCTATCTTTTTAAATGGAAGTATGTGTAAAAAAGTACCCCTTTTAAGAAATAACTAAAATAAAAATTAAATTCTCCATCTGGTAACATTTTTTTCCCAATTTCATAGATAAGTAAATGTACATGGTATGATAACCCTCAATTTTGTTACCACAGTACACCTAAAAACAGGTATACTGCTCAAACCCAAGTCATGAATCAAGATAAACAAAAAAGTATTAATTTAAAAGGACAATGAAATATAAAATTACATTTATCTAAGACTTTGCAGCTGATTTCCTTTAACACTGTCAGCTGATAACACTGGCTAACCTGAAAGGAGCTCCTCCTAGCTAGCTTGAAGTTGTAAACCAATTTGAGCTCACATAGCTACCAAAGTCACATGAAACTTAAATGAGGGTAGAGTTAATATGGGCTATAACAAACAGTATCTTCATTACAAATCAGAGGATGTGTGTGTCCATGTTTTTTTTTATTGTACATCACGTGCATCACCATAAATTCCATGGCTCTGGGTAAAGGCAGGTTTAGTTCAGTTTTGCACATTGAAAATGGTCCGCTTATCAGTAATCATCTTTGCTTTGCAGGTAATATCATCAGGAAGAGCTCAATTACATACAGTAGTTTGCCTCAATGATAGATGGCTTGCTGTTCTCTCAGCAGTCCTAATTTGCTTGTTGGTTTGCAGCTAGCTGGTCAAGTGGGGTAATTTACCGTACGGTTAATCTTGGCAGTGTGTGCAGTGCAAATGTTTAATAAATCTTGAATATCCGGTGAGTCTCGAAGATACCGGCAGAAGAGTTAATATATGTAGTGAAAATAGTTTAGTGATTTATAATCTAGTTTTGGTTCTTGTAAGGTGAGAGTGTCTCACAGATCTAGTCGCCATTCTGGCTGGTGATCCAAAACATTTAATTAAAAAAACTGAATGCAGTAGTCTAGTTATCACATTATGGAACATGAGTGGTAATCATGCTGCATCCTGTGCAGTCAAATAGCCACAAATAGATTTGCATTCTTTGTGATATTGGCTCTCAGTTCATACGTGACCTGATAAATGTCGGTTTGGTTTGCACAAAGGAAGGAGAATCAGACAAGGGAAGACAGTTGTTTGTAATGTTATCCTCCATTTCTTTATCTGATAGCAAGGCTGTTGATTATTACCAGAGATTGCGCCTTGTTTCTTTTTAAGATTATCCTTTTCTTCCTTTGATGCTGCAGTGAAACTTAATTCCACTTTACAACTGAAACAGATGGGTTATACCAGCAAAGGTTGATCTGAATCAGTCACCATATGTCATCAAATGCCCCTCCCAGTATAGGATAATTGCAGGTTGGCATTGCTTGCTCCCTTTGGTGAACCAATGTTTCTGTTAGGAATAGGACTGATCATTTGATTTAGCCTAATGTTATTATTATTATTATTATTATTATTATTATTATTATTATTAAGAAAGACCAGCAAGTGGAGGATGAGAGTGGTAGTGATGAAAGAACCACAAACATACATTTGTTTGGTACTGAAGCAATGTAATTCTTTGCAATTTTTGGATTTGGTAGTTGGATCTATGGAGTGCAGTTTAAGACTGTGACAGCAGTCTCTCAAGACTGGGTCAAACCCTAGTTAAACATGTGTTACATGTTAAGTAGACTTCTGTCGTGCACATCTTCTGTAGTAAATCTGTATGGTCTGCAGGATTTATTCCAGGCTGACCAAAAAGACTTGAGTAAGGCTTTTCACATTGTGTCCTGAAGACCGTAAACACACACAATTAAGTCACTCTAGATAACAGTCTTTCCTAAGTGGATGAAATGTAGAACCTATGTACCTTTATTGATCAGTTTACACAAGATAATTGGTCTTTCATTGTGTGCACACCTTTTCCTCTACTCATTTGCATTTAAACAGCATTGTTTTCCTCTGTGTTATAGATAAAATGCTTCCTCTCTGTGGCACTATAACATTCAGATGTAGACTGACACAGAGATGCCAAAAAGAAGGGCCAGAGATTTCTTAGCTTAAAACCAACAGCAAGGTGAAACTGTTAATAAAAGTAGCTTGAGTATAAGGCGGTCAAGGAGGGTGAAAACAGATTGGAATTCCTCACAAAGCAAACACACGGACATATTAGAGCGGCACTGGCCAGGAGCATTATCCAAAGCCGGGGGAAGCAATGGCAATGGGAAAATAGTACGTTACCCACACAAGAAGGATGAAATCACAAAAGATATGTAGACCTAGCTATAATGTTTTGATTTGACAAGCTGTGACTGATAAGACCCAATCCGGAAGCAAACTTGGGTGTCTGTGTCATCGTTTCCATCCGTCCAGAATAAAACGCAACCCTGGAGTTTTCAAAATAAAAGGGGGTCAGACGTGTTTTCAGAGGTCTACGTTTTATTGCTTCCAAAACGGCGAATTAGTGTGGATGTAGTCTTAGTATTTGCTGATGCTGATGGCTGAAGGTCTTTTATCTTCAACACTTTCAGTTAAGACTTACTAGAGGGAGGGCTCTCCTAATTAATGGAAACATAATTACCATCTGTTCCTTGTTCCCTTGACACGGTGGATTGTGAGTGATTCCTTCCTTTTGTTTGTTTGTCTGGATGTCACAGCGTGACCTGAGTGGGAAGTCTGAGAGACCTCAGATCAACTTAGTCAAGTAGTCTTGTCAGTCTGGAGTCAGTGTCAGAGGCTGAGCCAGTGCTTGACGTTGCATACTGATGGAATACTATGGGAAGAGGAGGGTGGCTGGTTATTGCCAGCTCATACACACACACACACACACACACACACACATAGGCACTGATAGCAGAGATTCAAAGAGGTAAAAATGTACCCAGTGTCACAGTATGGTGGAGCTGAGAAAGTTTTATTTTATGCAGTTGACTGTTGTGCAGGAGTAGAAGTAAATACACCGTTATCAATCAAAACATGAATTATGCATCAGAGAAACAATATATGGCATTTTGTTGACTGTTTATATCCAAGACCACAACTGTGCCAGCACCTTGTCCGAAGTTAATTTTCCAATCTTGCAAGAGTAATCGTCTGCCATGGATTTAAAGGTGCCTCCAGCTTCTTTAAATTATTGCACAGAAGTGTTCATAAAATGACCTTCTGGCTGCACATTTACCTGTCATATTGAAGGAATATGTCTGTAGTAGCCTCGTCATAAATTTATTTTATTTTCCTTTATGCCCGTACAGGCTTGGCTTAAAGTTGCCCCTCTTTTCAGTAGGGTGCTGCTTGGAATCTGGGTCATTGGGTAGATGCTAGTGAGAGAGAGTGAGACTGAATGTATGAGGCACCTGAATTAGAGCATCTGAAGTTTAGCTGCCAACTCCGAAGGGCCATGCACCTTTATTTTTAACCAGTTCAACATGTCCAATGCAAACATCTCAACATCAAAAAAGCCTTCTCACATAAAAGGCACATAAAGGCAGGGCACACACTCAGCCTCTTGATACGATCCTTCACTTGTAGTACAAAGTGGAAAACACGCATTCTGTTTCCTTGGAGCATTCCCATTACGTCCCTCGTAAAACCAGTGTTTCCCCCTCTGCGTCCCCCTGATCCATGGATGTAAACTGTGCCGTGAATATTGAATTAGTCCCTGGAAATGGCTCTCATTTCAGATCAGATCTGAGTTTGAGCTGTGGCAACAGCCGGCAAGAGGAACAACACAATAACAGTGCAATCTAGTCTGAGCAAATAGTCATTGCAGATGCAGTGAAACATCTATTAGATTTTTATTTTTTGCTGTATGTTTTCCTGAACGCTGATATCAATCTGTGAATTGGTCACGGTTATTCTGCTGTTGTGGCTATAACTACTACTACTACTACTGTTGATTCCACTGTGAACCAGTGCATTTTCATAAAGGGTGCTGTGTTACAATTTTAGCTCAAGCCATGTGACTCCCCCCCCCCCCCCCCCCCCCAAGGAGTGATGCCATATGTCTCACTGACCAGCTCCATTGACAAAAGCCAAGTCTGCTGCCTCGCCAAACAGATGACATTCCAACCTAAAATCAATGGTTAGCGTGAAATGGATAATATTTCTAATTGACAGTATCTTCGCTGCTGCCTGGCTGTTTGTCATATGCACCACCATTAAGCAGGTATATAATTAAGAAGCGAAAAATGCACAGGCTGCGTTTATCAGTTACAAATGCCATCATCAGCTTTTTAGATGGCAGGAGGGGATGAGCAGAGAGTGGGGCTCCTGCGACTGGTTTGAGGTCAGAGTTTATCTCCATGGAAGGGTTGAGATGGAGAAAGTGATTTAACAGCTGCTGGGTTCAGAGCCAGGCCCACTTCCTCCTGTCCCTGGAAAGACAGGAAAACAGTTTCCCCTCAATTGAATGTCCAGATGAGGGACTTTCAGTTCCACTTATTTCCTGGGCTTCTGTTTGTCAGTCTGTTGGAGGAAAATAGCTCAGCGCAGTCACGATCATACTTGAGTTACACTCACTTTTCTCTGGTAGCTAAACTAGTCTAAATAGCACATGGGGTAGTTGAAATAGATTGCATGGATTTATAAATGACCAAAACTTGGCTGTGAAAAGTACAAACGCCTCCTGGCAAAATACATGAATAAAAAAACGTGATGGTCACCTTCGTATCCAATCTGTCACACCCTCCTCCTTCATCCTCCTCCTCAGTCTAATTTACTCTCAAAAATGAAATCCCTCCTCTGCTGGTTTTAGTGTCTGTTTTTCTTATTTCTCAGTTTTAGTATCACAGCAATATTTTCTTCTTACTATTGATGCTTTGTAATGCTTTGGATCTACAGATTGAAGCTTTTTTTGCTGTTAAAATGAATCAATTAACTTTGGATAACAGCAAAATAAAAAAGAGGATGGATAAATGATAACTAATCATCTGAAGAAGGATTTATACAGCTGTTTTGTATTGTAAATATGGCCGGTTTTGTTTTACTTATGTTACTGTGACATTTTGGTGCAAATGTAGAGTTGCCTTTTTGAGGTCTGACATTATCACATCTCATCTCTGTCTGTATATGGAGGCCTGGCATGATGGTGGTTATGTGGCTGAAAAGCCGCAAGGCAACCAGATGTTGGTTGTGCGTTGCTTCTGTTATTTCACATATTTCTTTGTGAAAACAGGATATTGGGACACCACATAACTCAGACAAGAACTGTTGCTGGGGAGATACTGGAGAGATTGTGTGAATGTATTTTTAGTTCAAATTTTTACACCTAGCACAAGTAAAGTAGCAACAAAAATTTCAGTTTTCCATTATTTAAAGTAAAAAAAGTAGATCTGTTCCATTAAATGGTCAATAAATGGAGTCATAAAGGGATGAACGCTGTCAGCAACAATACTCAGGTAGGCTGTGGCATTTAAATGATGTTCAGTTGGTACTAAGGAGCCCAAAGTGTGCCAAGAAAATATCCCCCACACCATTACACCACCACCACCAGCCTGAACTGTTGATACAAGGCAGGATGGATCCATGCTTTCATGTTGTTAAAACCAAATTCTGACCCTACCATCTGAATGTTGCAGCAGAAATTGAGACTCATCAGACCAGGCAACGTTTTTCCAATCCTCTATTGTCCAGTTTAGTGAGACTGTGTGAATTGTAGCCTCAGTTTCCTGTTGTTAGCTGACAGGAGGGGCACCTGGTGTGATCCTCTGCTGCTGTAGCCCGTCTGCTTCAAGGTTCGACGTGTTGTTCGTTCAGACATGATCTTCTGCAGACCTTGGTTGTAACAAGTGGTTATTTGAGTTACTGTTGCCTTTCTATCATCTCGAACCAGTCTGGCCATTCTCCTCTGACCTCTGGCATCAACAAGGCATTTACACCCAGAGAACTGCCGCTCACTGGATATTTTCTCTTTTTCGGACCATCCTCTGAGGTGGTGGTGTGTGAAAATCCCAGTAGATCAGCAGTTTCTGAAGTACTCAGACCAGGCCGTCTGGCACCAACAACAATGCCACTTTCAAAGTCACTTAAATCACCTTTCTTATCCATTCTGATGCTCAGTTTGAACTTCAGCAGGTCGTCTTGACCATGTCTTCTCGCCTAAATGCATTGAGTTGCTGCAACGTGATTGACTGCATTAACGAGTGGTTGAACAGGTGTACCTAATAAAGTGACCATTGAGCTTATGTTACATATTACTGAACGATTAATTGATTTTATATTGACATTTGTTTTAATTTGTAAAGTGTGTTGCCCATTGTACTTAAATGGTTACATTTTGCTTACATGCACAAAATATTTAGGCTTTTCCGAAAAAGACAACATTCCTATTGAGCTGTTCGCATGGCTAATGACATTGAATATTCCACGAATGCTCCTGTTTACATGCAGCTGCTCATACTCTGTTATTTAGTTTCTTTGCATCAACAAAGGATTTTTTCAAAGACTTATTGGGCCGTGCAAACACAGTCTCCCTCTTTCATTCTTTCAAGCAACTTCTTGAAAAGGTCGGCATTGCAATATTTGCTCAAATCCAAAAACCTGTTAACATGTCTTTCCTAAACACTAAGAATATTGGTGGAATACTCGTGTGATGTAAACATAGCCAGTGTTTCTGTGGACAGGCCCCTGTTTTGGGGCAGAAAAGTAAAGGATTGCTTTCTAGGAAACACAAATGTAAATGCATGTTTCAGACTTTCAAGAAAAACACACAATGGCTTTTCTGTGAGTCACACTCAATGTCAACATATTTTTTTGTCAGTTTACCACAAAACTGCGACTGTTGTTTGCACAGGCTTTAACTGTCACCAGCATATTTACTCAGCTATAGCTAATATGTATTAATTTTGTGGGTTTGCGAAATAAATAAGAAAGTGGAAATTTTGGCTGGTATGCGTTACAGCAAGTGTCTGTACAACTCAGCCAAAGAGAGTTTTATGGAAGAAGAATCACCACTCTGTCTCATATTTGATGTTTTCTAAAATATGATTGTGTCTTTTTGCTGTTCATGAAAGACCAACATTGTGGCAAGTCTTTATTACATAAATAATCTAGGTGTCAAACACCACTCACCAGCAGTTTGTCCTGATTTCCGTAACTGAACTTTTATATTGTTCATTAATATACAGCCATGTCATTATCTGTTTTAATGTTACTGATTGATATTAAACATACCACTCATGTAATATCTTAATGCGCCTAATAGTTCTTTTTAACAACAGACAGTTTGACTTGTCAGAGTTTCATTCAGCCATTTCCTACTGTTACATAAAAAGGCACATTGGTAAAAGTTTTTTAAAGCAAACTTCTCCCCTAGGTGCTGCCTCATTATAACTCATTGTTTTTTTGCAAGAGGCACAGACAAAACGTTAGCTTCAGTTCGCATTCACAGAGTCAAGAGTCAGAATGGTAAAAAGCATTGGGGTCTTGTGTTTACCACACGCAGCTCTTGTTTCCGGGTGATGGAGACTAATTGTGGTTTCTGTGACGTTGCTATGGGGGCTAATTGAATGTGAGTTGCGCAGTCACAACATCTGTGTGACAGATTAGATCTGCAGCAGCAACAGGACTCAACAAGCCTGTCTTTGTCCTGTAGCATCTATTTTCTTCATTTAATACGGTGATCAATTATTGGGATGAATGTTTAAGTGTCTCGGAGGAAGGCCATCACCGGGGGCTCTGTCCTGTTGTTCAGTCAGTCAGGCCCGTCCATCGTATGCTGTAATGTTGTTTTGCAGCCTGAATCAATCGTGCTAACTGAAATCTTGACAGCTGTGGAAGCATCACCGCACTCTTGTTTCTCTACAGTTCTCAGATGAATCCAGTTCAGTGCTGTTTGTTGTAGACATTTTGACTTACCATAGCAGGAAAAGCACAGGTGGAACTAATAATGTTAAAGAAGCAATCATTGCAGTTCAATTCAGCAATTAATATTGGTATTACTCATGTGTTAACAAGTCAGATAGCCTTTGTACACACACCTGTGGGCAGTTGTGGAAGTCTTTTGCCCCTACACACCCACGAAGGTGTTTTCTCTCATGTTGCCTGATTTGACCTCTTCTCAGGACTGTGTGGGTGTGTACAGATTGTGCTTGTCCGACAGCACAGTCACACTCCTGTATGCTTTGTTACACCTGTCAACATGACAACTTACACTGTTATCATTGTTCTAAGTCTTTGTTGGATATCATGGATGTCATCCTCTACCCAACTCACCTCTGTTGATCATTCTGCTGTGGGCACAGCTACTTATTGTATTCAGTCAACACGGCGGACAGCAAGGCCAAGAATAAATTTACATATATAATTCACTCCCACAACCCCACCCCACATGCTGGTGCATTTTGGTGTCTTTCAGCTGGTGCTTATGATCCAATAAAGCAGCACATCCTGACTGACTTCTCTTTATCTCTGTGCTTGTGTCTCGTGTCCTCTTTCTTCTCAGGAAATCAAACCCCAGAGTCATTACAACCAAGGCTACAGTGAGAATGTCAGCCGTAAAAACCATGTGGATGACTACAGCACCTGGGACATTGTCAAAGCCACACAGTGAGTAGATGATATCTGTGCATATGTGTGTTGCTGTCTCACAACGACATCACGCTTTGGACTCGGTCTGTCATGTAGTCAGATTTTGATACATCTTCAAGAAATGCTGCATTAATTAGTTTTTGTAATTCACACAAGTATATAAGATATGGTATGTGAGGATATTTGTGCACGGCGCCCGTGGGATTTCTAAATACCCTGGTATACAATAATATAGTGACATTTCCCAAGCCTATCTACAAGCACAACAGACCTTGGCCACAAGGCAGGTAATTTTGCACTCTTAAATTTCATTATCAGCCTGACCTAATGCACGCCCTATTGACCCATCAGTAAACTAAGCAAATTAAAGCTGTAGTGTGTAACTTCTGTTGCCTCCCAGCGTATAATGCGTTATTACAACTAATAAGCCGGCGGCACTTCCGTGTACACAGAGTAACACTCGCCAGTCGCCACACACCGTACACAGAGTAACACTCGCCAGTCGCCACACACCGTGTAAACAGAGTAAGACTCGCTTCACACCGTGTACACAATGCTACACAACATGGGGAACAACAGGCTGCTAACATTACGTTACGTTCATAGCACCATTTCCAAGAAAATAATAAAGTACTAGGTCCAGTACATGTAACAGCAACACATACTACTCATAATATAATTATAAACCAAGTCACTTACTTATCCAACAGCAGCAAGGCAACATCCGTGTCTGCCCTCAGCCCAATTTCTTCCTTCAGGGCTCTCCACCAAGGAAAAGCGACGCCAATACAAATCCTTGTTTGCCTTCTCCATCGGTCACTTTCCTTCTTTGCTAATAGACCTTCAGCCGACCGTCCAGGTTTTTTCTTTGTGGTAGGATCCACTTCTGAATCGTGTCTCGGCCGCTTCTCCGCCATGTTGCTTTCTCTTTCTACCTGCGCTCTACCTCTTGCTATGACACTCTCCGCTCTTCCTCCCCCTCCCTTCTTGTTGTGAGGAAGCATTTCCTGTGCACCAGAGCGGAAATGTCGCAGGTAGACAAGCAAACTAAAAATGATATATATTGAAAAATACCGCGAGATGTTAGAGGAGCCGATCGGCTTAATCAGCATTGTGTCATCTCCTCTAGGAGTGGCTTGGGTGGAACGGACATTTACGGACCTGTAGAAGTTATGCGCTATAGCTTTAATGGAGGAGGACACTACAGCAAATGTGTACTGATAAAATAATAATAATAATCAATCTTGCCTACTCAAGCCACGTAGTCGAGATGTATGCTCGACAGTCAAGAAGTGCCCTGAGCGCCTCAAGTTGAAAAAAAATTAAATCAGAGTGGAAAAGTGCCATGTCATCTGCATTTTTTTCCATGTCCAATCTGATAAGGGCAGACCTTCTGTGATGACAATGACAAGTGGTAGTGTACAGTGTTAAGCTAACATTAGCTCACTTTCATCGTCGCCTTAAGCAAGCTACCAGACATAATTGAACAAATTATAGCTTCACCTGCTTTTTAACATTTCACCAACTGTAATTAGTCCCGACAGTCGACAGCAAATTATCAAACTGTCCACGAATGACTCCTCCTAAGTTGATTGTTTACTTACTGACGGGCCTATTGGGATCCTTCTTCATTACTGGAGGGCAGCGTGTTTACGTGTTCATAAATTGGTTTTTGTGTTATCAAGACACCGCAAATTTTAAATCCAGAACTAGCGCCACCATATTTTCAACTGTGGTTTTCTGACTCAGCATATTGCCAGAGAAATGATTTACCAGCTCAGAAAATGATGAGAGGATGTTTGGGGGAAGAGGAGAAATGTGGAAACGTCTTCCTGATAAGACAACAGAAGCTTTGTTTGGGATGCTACATTTGACAACAACAGATTTATGTTGTTTTGATTTGAGGTTAGGAATATCCGCTTATAACAGCCAGTGTCAAGTTATGCCATAGTGTGGGTGTCTGCTTTGGGTCTGAGTATCTGTTTATCTGTTTTGGTGTGTGTGTGTTTTGATGTATGTACACATTTTGTCAGTGTTAGTAGGTTTTATGTATTTGACCCTGTGTTTATCTGTGTTCACAGGTTTATTTGTTTGTGAGTGACTTTAATCCCTGTCCGCCCCTCTTCCTCAGGTACGGCATCTTCGAGCGCTGCAGGGAGTTGGTGGAGGCGGGCTTCGATGTTCGGCAGCCAGACAAAGAAAACGTAACGCTCCTCCACTGGGCCGCCATCAACAACAGGATAGATTTGGTCAAGTGAGTCCAAACATGTTTTGTATGAAGCTGGTGGCGGCAAAACCAAAGAGGTTAAAGAGTTGAGCTTGTATGGTTGTGAGTCTGAATCCCACAACTGGCTGGAAATATGTGGATATACTGGTCAGCTCCCAAGTGTGAGTTTGAAATATGAAGCAGAAGATGACTGGAAAAAGAAGTGTGTTCAGCCAGCTTACCATAAATAATACATAGACAAAAATAATAATAAATGTGGCAGCTGCTTTTCTCCACTTTTTGGCACAGTTTTATTTGCTTGCACAGCTTTTCTGGTGTACCTTGTTGTCATCTAATGACCCTTTTCCACTGAGCCCCTGTCAGAGAGAAAGCCATGACCTGGCTGATTCAGGTCACTCAGGGAGAAAGGGGATTAATGCAAATTTAGCAACAAAATGGTTGATGCTTCAGATGTATTAAGGTGTGGAAGACAACATAAATGTTGACCCTCTCTCACACATCTTGCACTTTTCTGTTAATTCTGCTTAGAGTAACAGGAGTTCAGGAGTCAAGAGCCTGTGTCCTGCCTTTTGTAAAGACAGCAACATAATGTGTAACTCCAAACATACACTGTGTATTCAATAGATTTTTAATAACTCACATTTGAGAGGCTGGAACGAGAGTATGTTTGGTATTTTTCCTTGAAAACTGACTTAAATATTTAATCAATTGTCAAATTAGTTGCAGAATAATTTCAGCTCCACTCATGTACTTGGATTTTCTTTAGCAGAATATGTTTTGGCTTGGTATTGCATACTATGTATAGTTTTTATGGGCACCAGTCAGGTCTTGGGAGTTTTCACAGACGACCACGTGGACTTGAGGATAAATCGATTAGAATTTGATGGATAAATGTCACTGTGACCTCACAAAACATGTTTTTGGCCATAACTAAATAATTCATACACTAATTATGACAACATTTCCCACAAATGTTTAATAGAATATAATGATGAAGTGGTGACATTTTATATCCAAAAGGTTAAAGGTCAGCTTCACTGTCACATCATACACAAACACTTACAAACACTTTTCCGGCCATAATTCGATGCCATAACTCAGGAACAAAAGGGAAGACATTTGGTTTAATACTGACTTGGTGACACTAACCTTGAGTGTCCATCTTGAAACTGCAGTAGCTGTATAGATCTTCTCTGTAGCTGGGTTGAGGATGTGTGTGAAGCATCCTTGTTTTAGAATATGTAGCTTCTTTGCAGTAACATCCACACTGGAAGCATTGTCAGCTGTCATGGCTACATACAGCATGATTCTGGACAGACACGGATGTAAACTGTAACTGCAGTTTGACTGGTTTATGGAGGCATACAACCATGAGGCGGCAATTGTACTTTATATATTGAAAAGTGGTTGCCACTGATGGCAACCCAAGGCCAAGACTTGGTTTCTCAAAATGGTTACAGATGGCAGCTTGGCAGCGGTTACTGCCGGGCCCTGTTATACCAGTCAGGCAGCCAACACCTATAGATTAGATTATCAAAACGAGATTCATCTGTGAATGCAGCATAAATTTTCACCTGATGATTGTGTTTGTTCATGCAGGTACTACATATCAAAGGGAGCCATAGTGGACCAGCTGGGAGGAGACCTCAACTCCACACCTCTGCACTGGGCCACCAGGTAACACCCACTCACCACAGATAACATATCTGCCATTGTAACTGTAAGTTACAATAGCAAGCAACTGAATGAATGATGAGGTTATAAACCACTGACAAAGTCAGCTGTGCCAAAATCCAAGGCTGCCTTGCCTGAACAGATCAGGCCAGCTTCGTCTAATCACTCCTACAAACACACATTAATTAACTTATTCTTAGACTGCTCACCATTATCTTCTCCTTTATTGCTATTTTAATATTCACTGCTCATCGACACTGCTGGTTTACGACTAGAAGCTCCATCGCAACTTGTAATGATCACTCAGTCACAGTGTAACTGGTGAGAAGGGACAGGTCATATGAGATCCATCCTCCTCTCCCGAGCAGACGGGGGCATGAAGCTCTCTCGGTCTGAATTATTGATAGATTTGACAATAGGCATCCACCCCATCGCCGATACACGGATACTCAGGAGTCCTGTGTCTCCCTTCACCTCCCCCCACCTCGCCTCCACCTGCCAGTGACCTTTAAAAACCCCCCAGCCTCCTCGGTCTGACTGTGTGACCTCAGCCGTTTAGACACATGCTGGAGCTAAGTGCTGGGTGTCACAGGCTTTGTCTGCCCTCATTTACATACAGCATATGGGTGTCATGTTTTTGTGAAGTGAAAGTGATAGTACACAGTCCTAAAATTAAAACAGTGCATTTTATGTAATTTTTACCACTTCCTTTCAAATCTTTATCATCCTATGTGGGGAGGTTTACATTGCAGACAGGGTTAGTGATAAAAATACATTTTAGAAATGCAATAAAGCATGCAGCTTATCACCCACTGCAACACAGAGACAAACCTCAAACAATAAGAGCAGACAGGGAGCCAGTTTCTCAATATTGTGCCAGCATATGAGGCTACATCATTTCATGTGCAAATAAAGCTGTTTAATAGCAGTGGGAGGACATGAGACCCTGATCTTTGGACTCGAATTTGAGCTGAGTCATCCACTCACTGTCTAAGTGGGTGATCAAGTGAGAATGGCTTTGGCCTTCTTCACCCCAAACCTCTGAAAGACTGGAGTTATTTGTTTCCTACATATTACTGGCTGTTTTCACCAAACATCAAACCCGTCTGCAGTATAAAGGCAGAATAGAACAGAACAGAAAGCCTTTATTGTCATTGCACATTACAACGAAATTTGCTGTGCACCTCCTAAAACGGTACATTAAAGGAACACCACCCCTCAAGTTAGCATTTGCATGGCAGTTATTTACCCTGAGTTGTGTTGAATTCGTGATGAGAACTTTGTTTTTCTCATATGCCTCCACAGTGAACGAAGAATCCAAAAAAGGAGAACATTCTTGATGAATCTATCAAAACATTTACAAATGTTACAAAATCTCAAACAACTAAGTGAAACTTATCGATGCTCTCTTCAAAGCCAGACTCCATTGACAAAAAACGTAATTATACCTGGCTGATGACAGGAGTTGCTGGTCTACCACTGCCTTGATCAGTTACTAAGTAAGTTAGTTAGTAAAGTCCAAACTAACCCTTCAAAACACCAACATGTTTGGCAAGTACTGAGCATACGACTGTAAATAAGAGTTTGATGATGCTGCACAAGTTGTGTAAGAGTTTGTAAACAGATGTTTTGATATAGCTTTGCTGTTGTTAAACATGGCCCCTTATGACTTTAATTCTTTGAAAATGTTCTGTTTTTGGATTCTTCGTTCTCCATGAAGCATGCAAGAAGGTTTTCTTTGCGAATTCAACATAACACGGGGCGAGTAATTTATATACAGATGATCATTTGGGGGCGTTCACTAAAGCTCAGAAGAGCACATCACTGCTCATTCTTCCAGTCTGTGAGGTTAGCAGTGAGGAATGAGATGTCAGAATAAGACGATGTGTGAAATCTCTATCTCTGTGTCCATCTTCTCCCAGACAAGGCCATCTATCCATGGTGGTGCAGCTCATGAAATATGGAGCGGATCCGTCTTTGATCGATGGCGAGGGCTGCAGTTGCGTTCATCTGGCCGCCCAGTTTGGCCACACCTCCATCGTGGCCTACCTAATCGCTAAAGGACAGGTAGGAGACACCAACGCTGCAGGTTATTGGTCAGGAAGAAAACATAATCTGAAATGGCAGAAAATGTGCTTGTGTGACAGGAGATCTTTAGTATGATTACTATAATCCACCTGGATATATTTTTTTAAAAACGCCAGAGGTAATTAAAAATAGGAAATTGTCAGCCTTCATGTTTATATCTTTTTTTCCTGTTTGTGCCTGTGTCATTTGGGTTTTGTCAGCCTCCTGGGGACAAGTGTTTGTTTTAGGAAGCATTTTGTACCAGCGCTGTCCATTAGGGGGAGCCCTATTGCTTCTCTTTTCCACCTCTCACTTCTCCCTCAGCTCCTTCAGTTCTTTAATTGCACCCTTGCTCTTTATCAGGATGTGGACATGATGGATCAGAACGGCATGACTCCTCTGATGTGGGCGGCTTACAGGACACACAGGTGTGTGGGTTTATAACTTGTGTGAGCGTACGCGTGCCCCACAGTTGCTATTACAGCTTGGTCTGCCTTGACAAAGAATCTTAATGACACGGTAGACAACTGTTGAATGAAATTTCAACCTCAAATCAAGAAAGTAATGCCAGGAAAAAGCATGAAGTACTGACAGTGACATGTACAAGCTCGAGCTTGTTCCTGCTGACTGCAGCAGCACACAGAACTTTGTCATTCATCAGACAGACTGCAAACACAAGGGAACAAGCCCCAGCTTTATCTGAAGAGTCCCTGATAAGCATATTTTCTGGGTGATAATTTCCATTTAAAGTTTATTAATTCAACTTGATCTCTGAGGTGGAATTACAAAATTAGCAGCAAAGAGGGAGGTGAAGCTTGACAATGAAAGGGATAGTGATTAAGTAGTTATATTAATAATAAGAAAGAAATTAAATCAGAAATACAAATTGTAATGGATCATTCTCTAATGACGATCGCTTCCTTGCAGTTAAATGTGTTGCTGTCAATCAGATGAGTTTTTTTTAAATGTGAGGATTTGATGTCAGCTTTGGCTGTGAGAAATTTAACAGCCATTTTGGATTATTTATGACATTTTATAGACCAAACGATTAATCGAGACAATAACTGAACGATCAGATAATCAGTAATGAAAGTATTTGTTAGTTGCTCCCATAAAACCAATGGTGTTTGGTTATAGAATGTTAAATATGAGCCAGATTCAAATTCTTAGGTTACCTTTTCCAACTGTCCTTTCTGTTAATCACCTTCTTGTTGTCTTTGTCTTCCTCCTTGTGACGAACCTGTTTGTCAAATTGGTTTTAAACTGGTTTGCCTGAGCTTGATTTGATTTTCTTCCTCTGTGCGACAGCGTGGATCCCACCCGGCTGCTACTGACCTTCAACGTGTCTGTCAACCTGGGCGACAAATATCACAAGAACACAGCGCTGCACTGGGCCGTGCTGGCCGGCAACACCACTGTCATCAGCCTGCTGCTGGATGCCAATGCTAACGTCGACGCACAGAACATCAAGGTGACGCCTGCCTCATGACTCGATCTGCCATTTTTGTATCTGATAATAGTGACTCTTATGTCACGAAATGAGACTGTTGCTTAGAATGACGGAAATGTAGCCAGAGTTTTTTGTGGTGGTAGATGTGTACAGACTGGTCTTGTGTTGATTTTTAGGGTGAAACACCGCTAGATCTTGCCAAGCAAAGGAAGAACGTTTGGATGATCAATCACTTACAGGAAGCACGGCAGGCCAAAGGCTACGACAGCCCATCCTACCTGAAGAGACTGAAGATGGACAAGGTACACACACACACACACACACACACACACAAACATGTTCAAATACATTACATCATACATCAAAAGAGAAAGTCAGGCGGGCATCAATCAATGTGAATTATGTGCTACTGCTAAAATTTCAGAATCTTTTTTAATGGAATCACCTGTAATAAATGCAATAAACACACACACACACACACACACCTTTGTGGTTTCCTGTTTGACTGTCCCAGTTCAAATAGATACATGTTCAGACCAGTCTGTCCACGCTGAACTCTTGCTCTGCTGCAGTGTCACAGCATGTCTGGGGATGTGATTACGTTTCAGTCCAGACATTTATTAGTTTTCAAGTTCCCGATCAGACAGTCTGACAGGAAGCGGATGACTCTTAAAATGACCTGTTATGTTTAACCTTACAACTTCTGCAAAATACACAAACGACATGACTTTTATTGCATCCAGTGTGACAGCAGTGGGTAGTAACTGATACTTATCCTGATAAATAACCTCTTCTACTCGAGCTTTGAACTTGATTGAACTTTTTGTAGAAATCAAAGAAAGGATGTGGACCTTCAGATATTTACTTGGTCACAGCAAACTAACGTATCAGCCACAGCCAGAACATGGTTCATCAATGCACATTCATCTGTGTTTGTTTCTATGTCAGAATGTTTCAGAATGTTTTGAAGACAGTGCATGCTACTTCAAACTCTAACCTTGAATGTGGTGTTGTCTCTCCCCTTGTCTGCTGGGATATTATAAGTTAATTAAGGTAAATATTAGGACTAGACAGTAGGTCTTTATACAAAAAGACAACTAGAATCAAGACTCAGAGGTTTGCCTCACCTTTAGTCCAGATCCCTAGTGTGAGTAGAGCTTCACAGGTCGTTTGTAGATTCGTAGAATGCATTTAACTTCCTTGGATTACTTTCCTCGTTGTCTCGCCAAGTCAAAGTGTTAAATTAAAAATGGCTTTAAAATGCTTTATTTGTATGAACTACAAAATCTGATTTCATTATGCCAGGGTTTGGACACGTTCTTTATACCCAGGCATTTTGACTTTATCAAACAGTTGCATCTAAAAGTCTGAGACCACTAGCCAAGATACTTTTATTTTTGCATTTGTTTCGAACGTAGAAATGTTTTTTTCCTTACATTAATGAGCCAGGGTGGATGTCGGGTGAATGTAGAGGAAGGTCCATGAACTTCTTTTGTCTTCATGGTAAATGGAACAGACTTGCATTACTATAGTGCCTGCTGACCACGCAAAGCACTTGAACACGACATGTTACATTCACCCATTTCCACATTCACACACTGGTGGACAAGGCTACCATCCTAGGTGCCACCTGCTACTCAGTAACCATTCATAAACACTCAAACACCTAATGGGTGTGTGACACCCAATGTTGGGTTCAGAATCTTGCCCAAGGATACATGGAGGAACCAGGGATCTAGATAACAATCATTCGATTAATTAATGCTATTGTGGCTCTACCTCCTGAACCCCAGCCAGTCAAGTAGTTCTTGCAAAGTGTTTCAGAGTTCCATGCACTGCCCTCTAGAAACCTTAAGTCTAGCCATGATTTGACGCAGAGAAAGCTTGTATTTGTCTTCTGTCACTTTCACTTAGTTCTGATGCTACGTTTCCCACTATCATAATGCTACTTGTGTTTTTAAATGTTTCTGAATCCTTACATTTTCTGATTATCTCCAGGTTTATGTAAAAATATTATTGATCTTCAATGTGGTCTCAGACCTTCAGACCCCATTGTATATCATGCCTGCTTTCTTTTGCAGTTTCTATTGTAATAAAGAACACACAAGCTAAAGGTGCTTGTTTTTTAATTAACTTTTAAATCATTAGATCTTTAGCTGTGATTTCTAACATAACTCTTCTGAAATTCAAAACAAACTGCTGCGCTCTTGCTTCAAATAGAAACTATTGGAAATGTGTATCTGTAGGTAGATGTTTATGGGCATGATTCATTACCCTGACTGATTTGAATTATAATACATATTTTTACTCTTACAACAGATTTGAAAACCTTTCATAGCTATAAAATGTGAACTAGGACTCCCTCCTTCTTGCTAAACTCTCGTCTGTGTTTTCCATTTTTGTCTTTCTGCCTTGTTTCATCTCTTGTCCAACTTACATCTGTTTCTTTCTCTGTCTCCTCTTCAACTTTTTCGCCACTAATCTGCCTTCTCTCCATGCCCTCTCTTTCACCACTTCTATTACATCTTCTCTCCTCCTTTATGTCCTATCTTCCTGATTTTTCCTGTCTCCTCACCTGTCTCCTTCCTCTCCTCCTCCTGCAGGAGTTCAGGCAGAAGGTGATGCTAGGAACACCCTTCCTGGTCATCTGGCTAGTTGGTTTCATCGCTGACCTAGACATTGACTCCTGGCTGATCAAAGGCCTCATGTACGCCGGCGTCTGGGTCACCGTGCAGTTCCTCTCCAAGTATGTCTCAGTTACATAAAAGACACTTTTTTTGCCTTTGATTCTCTTAATACGTAAGTTAGTTATGTTCATTAAAGCTAGTTTAGACAGATTTAGCTTTCATCGCTAACTTTTTATTACCCTGAGTTAGTGTTGTCGTGTTTTTAGCCAACTTTGGATTTTGCATTTTGAGATAATGATCTTTCAAAATAAAATCTGCATTACTTCTTACACCATTGAATACACACAGTCTCAGTGGCACCACCACATAAACTGTCCTTGCACATATTCTCGCGTGCAAACACACATACAATTTCCAACATTCCACACCATGCAGAGACAAATACTCACTCAAGCCCCATTAGCACTGCCATCTGGTCCTGCTGTTCTAGTTTGTTGTGCCGTTCACTACTGTTAGTTCTCTGACTACAATAACACACACTGCCCAATGTGTTAGCGTCATGTTCACTGACATTCTTGGAATACTCAGTTGGCGACAAAACAATCATAATTATTGAGTCCTGGCAAGTCTAACTGTAGTGTGTCATCAGGTCATGGTTTGGTTTATTTTTACTGCTGTCTCAAAGTTTTAGGTTTCCATCAGTGCATATGTGCTACAGTGAGCAGTTTCACATCTGCAGGAAGAGTGTCTTGATGTATTGAACACATAAGTTATGAGCAGAGCAGTGTCTGTAGTGGGAATGATGCATGTCAAAGGACAATTCTGACCACCGCTACAGAAAGAAGCCACAAGTTTTTGTACAGTTAGTCTTATTGCCAGGCTGTGTCAAGTATGACGGGGTCATGGTGAAGCAGATATTTTTAGTACTGTGAGCACTGTTTGATTGACAGGAAGTGCAATGCAGAAATGAGACAATGGCAAATTTTATTAAGAAAACAAAAAAGACTCAGGACTTTGTAGATAACTATCTTTAAAAACACTGCTGATACCCCCTCCTACTCCCTCCTCCCGTCCCTCCTACTCTTCTCTCTCCGCAGGGCTTTCTTCGACCACTCCATGCACAGCGCTCTCCCTCTGGGAATCTATCTGGCCACCAAGTTCTGGATGTACGCCACCTGGTTCTACTGGTTCTGGAACGATATCCTTTTCTGTCATCAGTTTTGACTTTGTTTTCTTAACAGAATAGTTTGACATTTTGGGAAATTCCTTTTTTTTGTTCTTGCAGAGTTAGATGGAAGAATGATTCATATCTGTGCGGAAAACATGACGATAAGCTTAGCTTAGCTTAGCATAAAGGCTAAGATAATCCAAAGTCAGACAGCTAGCCTGGCTCTGTCCAAATATAAGAAAATGATGTTTAAAGCTCACAAATTAACATGTTATATCCTGTTTGTTGAATCTGTATAAAAAATGGCAAGTTGTGTTTTTACAGGGAATGTGTTCAGCTGTTTCTTGCAGTTGCCAGGCAACCAGTGGATATTTCAGGAGGTCTGCATAAATAAGAGAAAACAAAATTGGGATGACCTCCCATCAGGCTTTGTTCTGGTAGTTGATCACACTCACATTTTGATGAGAAAGGTTTTTTCAGTTCAAACCTTAAGTAATTATGTTCCTAATTGCCATGTTGGCAAATGCTACACTTCAGTCTGTGATGGATGAATCTTGTTAAGTCAAATCCTTTAGAGTTTTGGCATTTAGCTGATACTTGAGGAGTCTTGTTCAGAGGGACTTTCAGTGTTAGAGAAGTTTAGTGTTTTGGGCTGTTTCTGGGATCAAGCACCAACCTTTCAGATTTTAAATAATGGTCCCTTAATCCCAAGTAATGCTGAGGATTTCACTGAACAGTGACTGTGTCCGGTTCCCCTACATTTAATGCAACATTAGGCCATGAGTCGAGTCAAGTTATAGTTTAGTCCTCTGTAGCTCTTTTCAGTAGATGTGATAAGTGATATTTGAGCTCCTCTGTCCCCCTATTTTAGTCTCATTCATGCACTTGTGTGTGAAGCATACCAGAGCTTCAAGACCTGGCTCACACTGTCTGGAAAAAAGACGTCAATCCAAAGCCTTGCAGTTGTGTCACATGCCGGTTGAAATGGGCTATTTACACTTGGCTTGTTCACAGTTGCACAAGTCGTTCAACATAAGCCAAGAGCTTTTATAAATCTGTTAGGCAAGTTTCTGAATTTGGCAGTTATGAGTGATCTCCAAGCAGGGAGGATCTCAGTAAAATATGGACTTGTAAAACAGATTTTTATTGCTTTCTGCTGCCTGTGATGCGTTGTGGTGGAAGAGGAGAAAAATCCTTGTGTTAGCCGGCTGGAACATCAGTGAGATGAAGTTGCAGGAGAAGCAGGAAAGGAGGAGGGTTAATGTAAAGAGCAGAAGGGGTTGATGGAAATTATGTTAAACAAATGCAGGCATGATGTGCCACGAGCCCTAAGGTCCCATTATGATGGATGTTTAAGTAAGACTGTAGATTGTGTCTCAGTGAACATGCAACTTAGTTTCCAGTCTCTGTTGCTGCGTTGGAATTGCGAAAAGGGAGTTTGGTGTGTAACAGCTGCTGGGTGAAGCCCAGCAGAGTGACTCCAAAGGGTTTCTGTTGACCTCAGCGCTGCTGCTTTCACAATTTTTGTTCATAGACGAATTGCCTTGCTTTATGGAAGCTCCTAATTGCCGTAGGTGAGAGGGGAGTTCTCGTTTGTGGAAGGTATTTAATTTTATGCCTCGCTGCTCCGCTAATGGGAAGGGAGCATAAGATGTCTTTGACCTAAGCTTATTAAAAGAGAAAACTGTGCTCTGAGGTCTTTCCAGTTATTAAAAGTAGTACTACAGATGTGTTTTAAGCATGTTTTTCATGGGTGTATGGTGTGTCAACTGGACATAAAATTGATGGAAGGAACTGCAATGACACCCGTGCTCTTGACCTGCTCCCTTAGCCGGGTTTTCACATATGCTTTCATCTTCAAAGAGCAGTGGCGAGGTGACGTTACATCCTGTAATCTGGTAAATGTTTGTTCGTACATGGATGAAAAGTTGCCCCTTTGACTACAAGCAGGTTCTTTCTTGTTTGAAGACGTTTCCTTGTGAAAAAACGACTCCTTTCAGGTTTTCTCTTTCGCCCTCCGGCTATCGAGGCTGTCATTATGCCTGTGTGTCTGCCATGAATCTCTCTCCAGTCATGGTGTTGTTTGCCTGCCTTTCATTTGACAGACATGCTGTGTCATGTTCCCTACAGCTCGGGGAGTTTAGCCTTTCTCCTGCGGCATTGCAGACATCAGTATCAGTGGCAAACTGTGGACACTCTCTCATTCAGGTAGACAGTTATTGCATACAAATACTTTTTCTTATCGCATTTATTTATGCAAATCAAGGGATATGCAAATCAGGAGCTCTGCCTGTTTTAACTAGAGGTTAACTATAAATTCAAAGCTAATGTATGAGACTGTTGACACTGCTACCAACAAGCAGAACAAGCTGATGGCCACCACAGTTGAGGTTGAGTTAGGGTCAAAATAAATACGTTTGTAAAACACGTCATCTGAACAGGTCTGAAGGAAAACGGGTTTATAGTTGTGTCAGACCATCACAATTGAAGGCAGGGTGAAAAGCCAGCCACAGAGAGAGAGCAGACTCAATGATTGCAGATGAATGTGCATAAATATGAAGTAAAGACTACCTTAACCACTGCGCACATCGGTTTTCTGTATCTATCTCGAGCAGCCATGACTGTTTCTTGTTGTCTGAGTAGACTACACAATGTAGCGCCAGAGGAACACCAAGTGTCACTGCTGCATCTTGTCGGCTTGTTTCTGGCAGTTTGTCATAAGCTTAGAGGAGACTTTATTTTTCGTTGAGAGTAAATTACTTTCATTTTCTCGTCGTGATTTCGATGCACACTGTTAGCGGACGAAGTGATTACTATCGGCAAATTATTTAAATAGAATTTGTATAGTAACGATTCTGTCTGAAGATGTTTGATCCATCTAAGCAGTTGATCACCGTAACTTGGATTACTATAAGTGCTTTTTTCCCTCTGGAAATTCATTTAAAGCAGAACTATATGAATTCTCAAAATTCATACGTTATTCCAAAGGTCAGTCTTCGAAAGCATGAACAACTGTCTCCCAAACCCTAAAACTAGAGTGCTGAAACTAAAATTTGTGATGTCATATGGGTATAAAGTCTGGAGCCGCTCCATAGACAATGAGTTATAGAAGATGTTATAGATGACACTGAGAGCACCCAAGGGAATGTTATGAGTATATGAATACATTTTCTGTTTCATAACTGTGAACACAACAATAGGGAAAGATCATTTGGGTATGAAAAAGAAAACTACCATTCATTGTCGATGGAGCAGCCCCAGACTTTATACCTGATGACATCTAAGTGTAAGACTTCTCTGCTTTCTGGCTTTAAGAAAGAGTAGCTCAGAATATTAGTGGGTCAGATTGTTGGTTTTGGAAAGTTACAAAACTTGTGGGACACAGTTCCCTTGACTCTGACATCAGAGGGCTGTGAGGGAAGGGGTTTTCTGAAGCTGTTTGACCATCCAATAAACCCCTGGTTTGAACCATAATGATGCCTCTAAGCCTTTAAGGCTGCATTCACACCTAATCAGGCATTGAGGCGAAAATGCCAGTTAAATGTGGGTAGCGTGTCAAAGCTGCAATGGTGGGGGCTTCAAGGGATGCCCAAAAAAAAAGGAATTACTGTGGCGTTGGGTGAGAAGTTGAAGCAAAATCAGCTTCAGTCTGTCAGGTGAGGCTTCAGTTTACTCTTTGTGACCCTTTAGAGGACTGAGGCCCAGCATGGGTTGCTGGTTGAGTTCCCCATTTTGTACGAGCTTGCAGTTTTACATCTGTTGAACTTGGATTTGAGGATGAAAGTATAAACCTTTAATGTAGGTCACGGGCTAAAGGATTCCAACATCTGGTTTAAAGCATCCTGGCCTGATTATCTGATCAGATCTGAGAGGAGACATTTCATGATTGTTGTTCTGATTTCATTGTTCCACATTTCTCACCACGTCTCTGTCGGACGGTGTTGTTACACGGCCCAGTATCTTGCACACCTTTGTTCCTCCTTCCAGGTCGAAACTTTTTATCCACCGGTTCTGACCCACTTTTCTGCCATTGTGAGCTCATTATCCTCCTCAGGCCTGTGGTTGAAATCAGATCAAATGACACGGGTGGAGCTGTGTGATGGTACTTTTTTGTCTTCCCCAGACTCGGATCATATTTTCCTCTGTAGGCGTTGTTCATAAATGCATTTCCAGCAGGTGAATGTCTTAAAATAACAGAGTGAACGATGCCCTGGACTTTATACTGTACTGCACGCATTCATTTCTCTATCGTACTGTATGTCTGCATGTCATTTCAAGTCTGACATGCCACACTGATAAATCTGTGACCCTCTTGCTCTGCCTTTGCTGTCAGCTGTTGTCAGATACACCTCACCACTCAGCCTTTCAAAAGATTAATGGGTGCTAACAGAAGGTGATGACCATGTCTCCCCGAGGAAGCATCAAAACCCATTTATCTGAGGAGCTTCATTGATCACTGGCACAATCTCTGCATCTGAACTGGGCCTTAAGTTAGTGGACCAGTGAGGAGTGTTTTACTTATTAGGCCATTCAGTAGGGGATAATGTCAACAGCCAGTCCTTTATGGAGATACTTATGAAGATCAATGGCTTCATGTGGCCTGTCAGGGCTTGTAGAGGCCTCTTTCACTCCGTCAGCGCTAGGAAAGTGCTTATTAATGAAGTCATAACTGTGCCAGAGGGATGACCACAACTGCTATCGGCTCTTCCTCACCAACAAGGTTGCTGTTGGGGCTTGTTGTTTCTATGCTTATGGTGTGGCCCTCGTGGCTATGAGTAACTACGTTCCCATAGCCACAAACCCTTGTTAATGCTTCAGAGGATTTTAGTATCATCTTTTTGTGGCTGGTGTTCACATCAAGTGTGTTGTGTCATTATGGATCTGAGAGTTTAGTTCGAATAAAAGGTTGAAGTATCAACTGAAATAAAATGAGATGTTACACCTCATCCCTACAAGTCGGTCAAAGAAAAGAAACTCTTCTCTCTAAGTGGGGTCCGGGCACCCCCATATTGATCAGATCAGAAGTCCTTGAATTTAATGTTTCAGAAGTTGTGGAAACCCTGGATCGAGGACCTTTGATGAAGAGGATGATCCAGTTTGGGTTGAGACGATAGAATAAAAAGGTTTAGATGGATCAGTAGGAGTAGTTCCCTCTGGAAATTCATTTAAAGCAGAACTATATGAATTCTCAAAATTCATACGTTATTCCAAAGGTCCAAACTAGAGTGCTGAAACTAAAATTTGTGATGTCATATGGGTATAAAGTCTGGAGCCGCTCCATAGACAATGAGTTATAGAAGATGTTATAGATGACACTGAGAGCACCCAAGGGAATGTTATGAGTATATGAATACATTTTCTGTTTCATAACTGTGAACACAACAATAGGGAAAGATCATTTGGGTATGAAAAAGAAAACTACCATTCATTGTCGATGGAGCAGCCCCAGACTTTATACCTGATGACATCTAAGTGTAAGACTTCTCTGCTTTCTGGCTTTAAGAAAGAGTAGCTCAGAATATTAGTGGGTCAGATTGTTGGTTTTGGAAAGTTACAAAACTTGTGGGACACAGTTCCCTTGACTCTGACATCAGAGGGCTGTGAGGGAAGGGGTTTTCTGAAGCTGTTTGACCATCCAATAAACCGAACTGAAATAAAATGAGATGTTAAACCTCATCCCTACAAGTCGGTCAAAGAAAAGAAACTCTTCTCTCTAAGTGGGGTCCGGGCACCCCCATATTGATCAGATCAGAAGTCCTTGAATTTAATGTTTCAGAGGTTGTGGAAACCCTGGATCGAGGACCTTTGATGAAGAGGATGATCCAGTTTGGGTTGAGACGATAGAATAAAAAGGTTTTGATGGATCAGTAGGAGTAGTTGTCATTTAGGTTTGGATGTCCAGCAAATGCCTGAGACAGGACTGCTTCTCAGTCACACTAGTGGCATGGCTCTAGGGATGGCAGTGTTTGTCACTCGGTCATCAATCACTTTGGTCCAGACTGAAATATCACCAACTATTGTCATTATCACCAATTGTAACATTTTGTATGGACAGTTGTGTTTCCCTAACTAACTTCATCGCTTTTTCTCTTGCACCATCATCAGGTCTAAGCTCCAACCACTGCTGTGCCGAAGTACAGCCTCAGAGCCTCTATAGCATGGTGGTAGACTCTCTGAATACACTTGGTAGACGATTCTTCACATTGTGAGAACCTGTGAGATTCAGCTAGCTCTCATATATATTTTTGGCATGTATTAAACTTATAATAGCAGTCATGCAGGTGTTTCATTTTAAGCTTAGTAAGTCTGCTATAAGTGGAAGCTATGTGGTCTGCCAGCTGCCACATGAATCTTTTCTTGAAAGAGTAAGAAGATGCAAAAGACACGTGAAACTATACTATATCCACGAAGAGGTTGCATAGCCACCTCTGTGCAGCCATTTACCCAAAAAATGGTATTTTAAAGTGGCCACTGTAACGTATGTTAAGCATGCTTCCTATTGAAACTCTTGCAGTTTACTTATTTTCACGTTATGCCACAGTTGAAACAGAATATTCCTCATCTGTGTTGTTGTTTCAGAGTTTGATCCACAGTGATGATTATATCATAGTTGTTTTGCCAAATTGCATTTTACTCCAATAGTTTCAGTCACACATATAGCACGTGTCACATTTCAGTCTGGGCCTCTCTGTGTCACTTGGCTGTATTCCTGTGGGATTCAGCTGACTCATGCACACCTGCATGACTGACTCTGCTACTAATCAGTTACAGTCTTCACTTTCTCCACCCACAGATGTCACAGAATACACTCCTATCTCTCCATAGTTGGGCAAAAGACTGTAGAACCTGCAGCTTATTTGTTTATGTGGTTAGGAATGGTGTGATGAAATAGAATTACATACCTACACTATCAGCCTCATCATGTGAGCATGCGCTGTCTTTTAACAACCTAACATTTACACACTGACTGTAATACACTGTCACATAATAATAAAATAATAAATAAATAAAAATAAATAATAATAATAATAAATAATAGAAATGTTACATACATAAACAGAGTTTCCTCTGTGAGAGCAGGACTGCATCATGGTCTACATTGTATGTGTTCAATGAATGGAAGTCATGATGAGCTGTGGTGACAGACAGAGATGATCTCTCCCTGACTGGGTGAGTCGACATGAGCTGCTCTTTGCGTCACAGTCTGCCTGCTAGTCACGTTACTGTGAAGTAATGATCTGACTCAGATTGACGTCTGAAATGGTTTTACTGACATTTGTTTAGAAGTGTGTCTGGAACAATGTGACAGGCCAAGTGTTTGTCCTGCACAATATTGAAGTAGAGGCCAGTGCAAACATACTTTTTGTCTTTCTTATGTCATTTGGAGTTGTCATCGACTGGGTATTTATGATTAAATGTTCACAATAAAGCAGGTTAGCTGCTTATATCAATGAGGAACTGCTTTGGTAAACTAGATAAGGACCTTTGAGAGTGATTTATTTTTAAATGACATAACATACTTGTTATCGGACAGATCCAGGCTAAGTCTCTATGTTAAAGCAGGGGTTTTCAGAGTCTGCTTTGGGGGCTGTAAACAGGAAGTATAATGTTGCCATGGAGTCAGTTAGCTGTGGGCTACAAGTTGAGCCTTGTTCTTTTTTTATGCCACTGCACCGGCAGGGTAGTCCATCCATCCGTCCCATTCTCATGAATAAAAATTTCTCAAGAATGCCATGAGAGATTTTCTTTCAATTGAGCAAAAATGTGGTGGTCATTTTTTCCAAATTTGGCACAAATGGCTACTTGGACTCAAGGATGAACTGATTAGAATTTGGTGGACAAAGGTCAAGGTCACTGTGACTTTGAGTCCGTCTCATTCTCGTGATCATGATATGTCAAGAACACCTTGAAGGGAATTTCTTCAAATTTGGCACAAACGTCCACTTGGACTCAGCAATGAACTGAATACAATTAGGTGGTTAAGGGTCACATTGACCTTTCGTCCATCTCATTCTCGTGAACACAATATCTTAGAAAATTTCCTCAAATTTTGCAAAATTGTCCACTTGGACTCAAGAATGATCTGATTAGAATTTTGTGATTGAAGGACAAAGATCAAGGTCACTATGATCTCACCAAACATGGTTCCTAAGGTTCCTACTTGATGTCATCAGTCCTCTGGCAGTAGTACTGTGGTTAGAATGAACAGGATCTGATTGTGGTAAAAACCCAGCAGTTGTCTGTAAACCTGTCTTTACAAAAACTCTGCTGAGACGCTGTTTGTCCATCGTGTTCTTTAACCTCACTGCACATCTACCCTTTGCCACTGTTCATGTGCCCTTCCTGATAAACACCCTGGCTCTGTTCTACAACTTTGGCAAATCCTGGAAGTCTGACCCAGGAATTATCAAAGCGTCAGAGGAGCAGAAGAAAAAGGTAAAGTTACAGGAAAGAAACAATCAGCAGGATCATCGTTTAAAAGAAACGTTTTTTGTTTGTTTGTTTGTTTTTTTGTCATATTTCACTATACAAAGTGTTAATGTTGATGTAGTGAATACAGGCGTTCTGATCATTAGCTTTAATGTGAACTTTTTTCACACGTTGTACTCTGACAACATGTGTGATGTTCCTTCAGCTCTGAAATTTCCAGTTCACAGCAGAAAGCTGCTTTGAATTCATTGGAGAGATCAGGGCTGCTCAGCGGCTGATCCTCTGGCCTCTCTGTCTCTCTGTCCCTCATTATCACACTCTAATGGGGGACAACAGAGGCTGTGCTTTGTACCAGGCCCAGTGATTGATGAAAAGCTAAATTTACCCTGTATTGTTAGCACAGGACTCACCACTGGATCAAAGGCTTCAAAGCTTTCCTCTCCCCGCAGAGGATCCCTTCCTACCTCTTGTTTTCCTCTCATGTTTGTTTATTTGCACAGTGATGTAATGCTGTAAGAGCAACCTGATTAAAAAAAACACATATGAGGAAAACAAATCTTATTTGTGCAGATTGGATAAAAACCAAACCACTAATGAAAAGTATTTTGCCTTAAAATCACAATAATCCAAAGACTGAATGAAACTGTAAATCACAGTTAGCTTTTGTTCCCCATGAATCAGCTGAGCTTCCAGTGTAATCGTTCAGCTGGAAATCCCAGCCTCAGCTATCAGTAGGTCTTTTGTTACGTTGCCAAATAGACCTTGGCGAGATGAATTTCTCAGTTGTTCATTCATTTTTCTGTCATGTCTCTGTCTGCTTTTTTTTTCGTTTAAATCCTGCTTTTGTTTCTTGTTTCCTTCCTCCAGACAATTGTGGAGCTGGCAGAGACAGGCAGCCTGGATCTGAGCATATTCTGCAGTACCTGCTTGGTAAATTCTGACTTACAATGTGACATATATATACAGAGGAAAACAATACCAATAATAAAACCACTTTTGACTGCTTGTCTGACTCTTTCCTTCCAGATACGGAAGCCCATCAGGTCCAAACACTGCGCCGTGTGCAACCGCTGCATCGCCAAGTTCGACCACCACTGTCCCTGGGTGGGGAACTGTGTCGGTATGTCAGCAACACAGCAAATTTACAAAGATGTCAACAACACATGCACTTACAAACAAATGGCTCCTCGTAATTTTCTTCCCCTGACTGAGGGTTGTGGCTTTTTATTGTGTTTTATCAGCTCCAAATTCCACTTTATGAAGCAACACGTGTTCTGACTGAGGGTTCTGCTTTTAACTCATTCTGGCTTTGGTAAACAACAGAAAAAACATGTTGGAGAAATTATAGACATGCATAAATGCTGATAATAATAGGCTCGCCGAAGCACAGAAACGGCACGTTAGCAGATTTAAGATTAGTATTTATAAGACTCAGTGTTTGTGTTGCACGAGTAAGACATCAGCTGCAAAACTCCGAGGCTGAAAAATTAAGCTAATGCAGAAAAAAATGCAGTTCATCCAATTACCACTAGAGGCTGGCTCCAGAAGCGAGTCAATTCCCATAGACCCGCATGTTAAAATGTCCAACTTTACGGCTGAAATAAACATGTTTACAGCCTGGTGCAAAAAACAGTTTTGGTCTCTATAGCTAATACCCTCCTTCATAACAACTGATATAAGGAGTGATCTTTTAAAAAAGTCACCTGTTTACATTTTATTAAGGCCCAAATTTATGCATAATTAAGTGAGGGGCAGCTAGAGTGACAGGCTGTCCATCCCACGCTCCTCCACAGCTCCACCCTCTTGTCCAAATATGGTCACTTCTGGCTCCAAAAAAACAAGATGGCAACCGCCAAAATACCAAACTTGAGGCTTTGCAACAGGAGTTCACAAAGCAATGGGTGACTTCACGGTGGCTCACACCATTATTTTGTACAGTTTTTGGTTAGACCCACACTTGAAGGACTGTCTCTGGAGCTGCTCTCCTCAGTTCAACGTCTGCCCAGTTAGCACAAGCTAACACAGCAGCAGCTAACATGCAACACCAAGCCGTTAAACAGTCCCAACAAACTCACACCAATGCCGAAACGGATCGACTATGTTGGTAATACCATCAATAATCGTTAGCTAAAGTTAGCAAGTGAGTGTCCAGGATTGTGTCAGGCGGCGTCGGTGAAACAGACCAGAGACAGTGGGGGGGAGGAAGGAGTGCAGGGGTCTTGTAGCACAACCACTTTGAAGCCAGGTGGTCAGGAAGAAGCTTTAAATGTGTGGAAACTGTCTGAACCAACAGAAAGCCCCGCTTAATGACTATTGGGACCAGAGGCCTGGAAACAGATTTTAGATATATCATAAACACGGTTGTAAATGATGCAGTTATGGGTTCCTTTGTATCATCTGTCATCTCTTAGAGGGGGGGGGGGGGGGGGGGGGGCCAGAAAATGTATCACAGTTATTCATGTTCCCCTAAGGATGAATTGTAATCTCTCTGTGAAGTGCAGTCTCACAGAGCTGTTAGCACATCTGTCTTGTTTTTATTACGAGCCCAGTCTACAAACCTCCTCTTAGTGTGCACATAAATATTTTAGTAGAACTGAACTGCACTTAAAGAAAAAAGTTTTTGATATGTGTTCCTGTTATCTCTATCACTTCTGGACTTCTACAGCATTTCTCTCATCGTTCCTTCCGTTCCATTGGCAGAGGCAGCCAACTTAACAAACTAAGGTGATATGAATGGGACATGACATGCTTGTTTCTCCTCCACAGGAAGTGGGAATCACCGCTACTTCATGGGTTATCTGTTCTTCCTGCTCTGCATGATCTGCTGGATGATGTACGGCTGCATTTCCTGTGAGTAGACAACCTCGTCTAAATTTCTTTACCTCCTTTCACACCTCATTTGTTTTATTTCTCTGCTAACGCCTTCACTCTCTCTTCTCCACTCAGACTGGAGGATCCACTGTGCCACCAGTTACGCCAAGGATGGTTTCTGGCTCTATCTGACCCAGATCGCCTCCTGCTCTCCCTGGATGTTCTGGATGTTCCTCAACAGCGTGTTCCACTTCATGTGGGTGGCCGTGCTCATCATGTGTCAGCTCTACCAGGTCTGGATTTACATTTGGTCCACCCATTTTGTAACGTAGGATTTACAATAGAGCTTTTGATTTGTAAGCATAGGTTCTTGTACCCTGAAGCTAAAATCTTTGAATTTCAGTAAATGTCTGTGTTACTGTATGAAAGGTCGGCTGACCTCTTTGCTTTTCCCTCTCTCAGATCGCGGCTCTGGGGATCACCACCAACGAGAGGATGAACGCTCGGAGATACAAGCACTTTAAAGTCACAGCCACATCCATCGAAAGTCCCTTCAAGTATGTGATCTTTTGTTAAGAAAGCTGAATCATCATTTCAGTGGGTTTAAGTAATAACATTAAAGGGCTGGTTCACCCCAAAGTAGGAACAAAAATATAAACCCTGTTTCCACCAAAAGTTCCCGGGGCATTTACTCCCAGGAAGTACTTTCTAAGAAACTAAAAGTTCCCTTAAGGGCATTGCTACCTGTGTTTCGACAGTGGACTAAAGACCTGTGAAGATTAGGCAAATTAGTCTGCTGATGTAAGACAAAACATGACGGTACAAGAGTGAGCAAACTCTGCAGCCTGCAGTTCTGTGTGCCCGCCTATCACATTGAAAACAAAGACACCTTAAGTTTTTTTCTCTCTGATGACAGTCAGGCTACTTATTGCTGCAAGTTGGATGTAAATTCAGGTCAGGAAAATGAAACAAAGAGCCTCTGTCTGTGTCACATAGTAAATCTTCAGAAAATAACCTTTCATTTTTCTCATTCGCTGGCTCTCTCTCAGCTCGCCTGCCAGATCCGTGCTCTCAGCTCATTTGCGTGATCTCTCTCTCTTTTACCCTTTTGTCTTTTTTAAGACGAGCCGGGAAGCTGACAGCAAAGCCCAACTAGGGTGTCTGCAGGTCCTTAAAAGTCTTAAAATGTCTTCAATTCAGTTTTATAATTATCAGGCTTCGAAAGTAAATAGTCTCCTATCTATCTATCTGTCTATCTATCTATCCATCTATCTATATACTACCTGTAATAACCTGCAACGATCTAATAAGAAAATGGATGATTTATCCAAAAATCACTCTTAAATGGAGTTGTATACCTGTAGACGTCCTGCTAACTAAACGTGTAGTGTTGTCAAACAAAGAGAAATAATCTCCGCTCATCCTAAAATGTGTCTAAATCGATAATCGAGTACTTTCTTGTTTATGAATGAAGCGGTACATGAGTTGAAGCAGCAGGGCTGTGTGTGTTTGACCAATCAGCGATGGCCATCCCCGCCTGCCCCACCCTGAAAGTTCCTGTACTGTCAGAAGAGGACTTTGAGAAAGGGGGGTAAAAGAACGTCCCCTGAACTTAATTTAGAGCCTGATCCATTTAGTCAAAATGCAGTGATTTTCTCACAACAGTCCTAAAGTTCCCACAGTCAAAAAGGGGTCATATATTACCATGCAGGTGGTTTTGGTTTTGTTTGTCAGGGTTTTAAAATATCACAAGATTGTATCTCTTTTTGTAATGCAGCCTGCAGGAAAAGAAGTTTGCATTTATAAAGAATGCTCCAGGGATGATATTTTTCTGTAGGCCGACGCAGAGGTTCCCTCGTCAAAAAGCCTATGGGATTTTTCCATTGGATTTTTGGAGTATTGCAGAAAATTAGCTCCGTGGCAAACAAATGTTTATGATGCACGTTAACATGTTTTGTTCAGCAAGATAATCTGCGAAAATGAACGCCACTTTTATGGTTTTTGAAGCCTTAACGCAATCGGCAGTAGTGAAAAGCTAAGGAACTACACCACGGTAGCATGAGTTTAACTTCCCCACCACAACGAGGCATTAAAGCTAGCGTGATGACGTTCTGTAGTCACATTTAGCCACTTGTTAGCAACAGCCTTTTTAAGACACATCTCAGCTTCAAAGGTCACAAACAGGGTATTTACTCATGTATTTATGCTGTAGAACAAAACAAGAGTCTCTTGAGCTTATGCTAGCCACCTTATTTCATCCATCTAACCAAAAACCCATTGACTTTGAGACAAAGGAGCTGAGAATGTGAAAATGCTAACTCATTTCCAGGTTTCAGGACTCATTCCTGGGGCACTCTGTTAAGGAGAGGTCAAAGGGGAACTCCACAATCATCTCCTTCCAGCTGTTGGGTAGCGCTGCACATGTGTGAAAAGCCATTTATTTCTTCAGAGCGAGCTGTGTAAAATCTGCGAAATATCCTCAAGTGATGTCACTTGAGTCAGCTTAAGTTCGGTCCAAAGACTAAAAGTGTGAAAATGAAAACAATCTGGAGGTGTGGAGTTGGAAAGAAGTAAGCTTACTGGACCTCTGTAGCCTGCTGCTCATTCCCTGCTGCAGGCTAGCGGCTTGAAGCTACATTAGCTGCTACTAGCATAACACAGCAGAATCTCTGAATGAATTGTTGGTGGTTGAGTTGCGTTGTGGGTAATGTAGGTGCTAGGTTTTGACAAGGAAGAACATGTGGAATAAATAAGACAATAGGTGAAGTACCTTTTCAATGATCTGACATTTCTTAGAAACTATGTGGTTGTACACTTAAATTATATAACAGGGTGTTAATATGATCATTGACCCTGTTTCCTCACACTGACCCTCATGTCTCTGTGTCCCTCTGCAGTCATGGCTGCATCAGAAACCTCATAGATTTCTTCGAGATCCGCTGCTGCGGTCTGATCCGGCCCGTGGCGGTGGACTGGACCACGCAGTACACAATAGAATACGACCAGACGTCTGGCTCGGGCTACCAGCTGGTGTAGAGGAGAAAGAGGAGGATGAGGAGGAGGAAGAAGAGGGGGCGGAGCAGGGTGGAGTCGAGTGTCGCCCGGTGGAGTTTGGAAGCATCACCCTCCCCGTCCCCCTCCCCCGGCGTTCATATCGGAGCGATGCTGTTCTCGGGAGCGCTTGCTTTTTTTCGGACCATCTCTCCCTCACCGATCAAAAGACTTAGACAAAAAAAAAAATCAGCCAGGACTAGCATGCTGTTACGGGGCAACACCACACCTACACACACACCCCCACCCCCCACCCCCCCGCCCTCACCACCTTCACTACTATTACTACTACTACTATTCTACAACATCAGACTTCTTTACTGTACCTCCACTGCTATCCCACCCCTCCACCTCATCTCTTCTCCTGAGCCCTTTGGACGGTGCGTTGCTGCCAGGCACGAAACGGAGAGGAGAGAGGCTGATGGACGAGAGGAATTACAAAATAAAAGCTCTTCTGTTTGTACCGGAGACGTGACGCTGCGGAGACAGCAGCGCCGTGAAGTGGCAGTATCGCTCTTTACCCTCCCTACTTTATATCCTTATTTATGGTGTCCCTGTTGATGTGCCCTGTATGTATGTTTTTTTTTTTTTGTTTATTTGATTGGTTCAGGAACTGTTGTTCCTGTGTTAAATAACTGAGGTGGCCAGGAAAGCTGAAGGAACGTTTCTTTTTTTTTAAAACCATGATTTGTTTCTAAGTGACAGAAATAAGGGAATGTGTTTTTAAGGTTTTTGATTTTGCACCGTGATGAATTAGCTGATGAGGATTTGCCAAGAACTTATCAGAGGAAAGGTGTGTCGCAGGTGGAGCCGCTGGAAGAGTCCCAACTTCTCACCTGCTGAAATAAAACTGCAAGATAAAATTTTCGGAGTTATCCAAGTGAAAGTTATAACCTAAAAAACAGTTGTTGTGCAGTATTAACGCGGGATTAAGTGCATGAATCATGACTCCTTCAGCAGCGACCACCGTAGACGCAACAGAAAATATCCTACAGACAATGTGATACAGGTATATTTATTTTAAAACTATTTATAGATAAAGTATGTTCTAGCGCCATCATTTTTACATGTCACATCATTTTAGCTGAGTAGGTTTTTATGAGAAAATATGAAACGAGTACCTGTAGCTGTTTTAACATGGAAGCCCGGGAACTTCACAGACTGTATAGACAGGTACAGCGAGCGTATTTATTAACAGCAGAGTATAAGAAACAGAACGCAGCAGACGGACGGACGAGTTTACAAGAAAGGTTCATTCCATGTGTTTTTCTCAGAAAGCTGTAAAGTCTTATTTGTTTTTGTTTTTTGTCTGCCTACAACATTGCACTGATCTTTTTTTTTTTTTTTTTTCTTTAGTTATTTGTTGTTGTTTTTTTTGGCTGTTACTGAACACAAGGGCCCAGCGGCACCGCTCCACACCAACGCTTCCATTGTTTACAGAGAGGAGGAGGAGGAGGAGGAGGGGCCCATCAGACATGGCTGGCTCCCATCACTTCCTGTCTGGACCCCCCGCAGTTAGCAGCAGCAGCAGGATGGACTGAAGTGTAAAGAATGTGCACCTGTACATAAACAGTATCTTTCTGTATTTTTTTTTCTTTTCGTCAGTGTTAGTCAAAGGTGCTCCTTGATTTCTTTCTTCTTCTTTCTTTTTTTTTTTTTTTTTTTTAATTTTTGGGGAATTCTTCTGACCGAACAGACAGAAGGAAATCAAGTGACTATACTCCGAGTGTATGACTGTAGCTTTTCGTGATGTCCGACACTGCTGTCTATAGGCATTTTAATCCCTCAGTACCTTTCAATCCCCCCGCCAAGAAACTCCACTGCATGTACGATGCTTGGGACAGCTGGGCTCTCGCCGCCCCCGTTTTCCCCCGTAAACCGGACCCCATAGTCATCACCATGGTGACAGCCCAGCAAGCCACGTTGTCTGTATATAGTGAATGTTAAGTATTTGCAAGTACTTTTCTGCATTACGTTCATTTGTCTGTTTATTTTTTTGTTTGTTTTTTTTAGTTTGTTTCTCTCAAATCCAGTGTGTTTAGTGGACCTTTTCTTTCAGGTCGCCAGATTTCAAGTCGGGCCCTCCTGTGCAAGTGTGTAATATATTTGAATGTTCCATGCTTGTGGACTCTGTAGTCATCCTAAAGGTTTTTTTATGTCATATATCGCTGGGTTTGTTATACCACTGGATGTACAAATTGTAAAGCAAAGACACTAGAGAACTAAGGCAGACGCCAAATTTTTTTTTTGTTTTGTTTTCTAAAAGCTGAAATGTGATCATGCAATAGTTTTAATGATAGAGGGAGGTTATATTACATTAAGGACCTCCGGAAACTTTTGGGCCTCATGTTTGCATCATCAGAAGGGGACGGTTATGTCATCATTCCATGTTTCACTCGCCACATCTCGCTTAACCCACCACTGATGTCATTTCTGCCCCGCAAAGACGACACACAGCGGCTGCTCTTTGTGCTTTAAAAGGTTGTGACTTGATTTCATATCAGCACCAGTAACTAACCACTTCTGTTCTAATAATGCCTTTTAAGTGACAGGAGGTAAACGCGGGCGAGTGTTTTTTGTTTTTCTGGGGCAGCAGCTCATCCGGGACGTGAATTCAAAGCCGTTTCAGTCCTCACTAGTTCTTCCAGCAGCCTGAAAAGTCTCTGTTCTGTCTCCCCCCTCTCACCTCACCATGTGGGATAATAAAATAAAATTTAAAAAAAAAGTTAAAGCACATAATCATCTCCAGTGCCTCTCTGCCCACCTTCAGACATCACTGTAACTCCGCTTCAGATGTAAACATATGGGCATGGTTCAGTTTTAATGGCTTTAATAATAAAATACAGTCAAATGTGAACTAGTGTTTGTTCATGTTTTTATTTGTATCACAAGCGACTACTTTAACATCAAAGAGGGAGAGAACACAAGAAAAGGACTGGTTGATGTTCATGTTAAACAGAGGAATGTATAAAAGATGTGAGCGTCTGTGTCTGAGTGATCCAGCTGAGCCATCACTGAGCGTGAACCAGAGCGCCTGCTCCTTGGCCGTAACCGAAGCCTTTGGGCCCGAAGTTCTTGGCGTAACACGCTGTGGATGGAAAGAGAGGAAAGAATGAACATTAACGAGCTGCAGATTGTATGATCTGAAACTGTATCCTCATAATACTGACGAAAAGCATCATTTAAAAACTTTGTAAGACGAGATGAGGAAGAAATGGATCTCATCTTCATGGAAGAAATCTCAGCAGTGTGTGAATTATGTTGGTTAGTTTTCATTTCCATGTCATGCCAAAGGTGCGGCCCCTCCCCCGTGTGATTACAAAACTACATTAAACTGATAATCCATCCACCTGACAGGTGTGACTTACCAAGATGCTGACGCTGTGTCTTGGAGGGGTCACAAAGGACGCTCCAAAATGTGCAGCTTGATCACACAACACGATACCACATGCTGCAAGTTTTGAGGGAGAGTGCTATCAGCATGCTGACTGCAGGAATGTCCACCAGAGTTGTTGCCTGAGAACTGAATGTTTATTTCACTACCATAAGCCGTCTCCAGTGTTGTTTCCCTGAATTTAACAGTACATCCAACCAACCACAAGTCAGTTACAATGACCAACTGCTGTCAGAGCAAGACCCTGGTAGAGACAATGAGAATGCAGATGAGTTTCTGATGGTATGTTAAGAAATTATTTAAATGTAATCGCATCAGCTGTCGTGGTGGCTGATCTTGGACGCTGGATGTGGAGGTCCTGAGCTGGTGTGTTTACATGTGGTCTAGTGGTTGTGAGGCTGGTTGGATGTACTGTCAAATTCACGGAATCAACATTGGAGACAACTTATGGTAGTGAAATGAACATTGAGTTCATGGGCAACAGCTCTGGTGGACATTCCTGCAGTCAACAAGCTAATGACATGCTCACTCAAAACCTGGGACATCTGTGCCTTCATGAACAAACTGCACATCATAGTGTGGCCTTTTATTGTGACCATCCCAAGGCACACCTGTGTAGTAATGATGCAGTCTATTCGGCATCTTGATATGTCACACCTGTCAGGTGGATGGATTATCTTGGAAAAGAAGTGCACACTAACACAGATTTTAACAAATCTGCGACCAAAATCTGAGAGAAATGTATCTATTGAGCGCATAAAAAAGTCTCAGATCTTTAACCGAGCCCTGTGAGAAGTGGGATCAAAAACAGAACATTTACAGTTTTGTTCAGTGTATACATCACACATCCAAGATGCGACAAAACATCTTGTGGCCTGAATCTAAAGTTAATCCTGTTAAGAGTTTTTCATTTCTCATCTCCAAGGCTTTCCTAAAGTATCTGGCTAACATAAATGTTTCAGATGTGAACGGCCAATTTTGTGGATCATCCATATAAAAAATGTTTTCAATCTACGAGACAAAGTATTTGGGGGTTCCCACTGAAAATATCAACACAAACTGACAAATTGAGATGACAAGACGAACATATCTGCTTCTTCTCTTCCACACATACTGTACAACTTAGCACAGACTGGTACCAGATCTCAACACACATTTCTTTGCTATGTAGTTAAATTCCAGACACATAACATCATTTCGGTGTCCTACATGTACAGAGTTCTGCTTTATGTCATTGCCACAAACACAATTTCTCTTGACAATTTGTATTTTCATCGTTTAAAAAAAAGCTGTAAAAGAGTGTGTGCACACATTTTATGACCAAGATACAGCAGTACGTTTTAATGTGTCTAATGACATGTCTCACATTTTACTGTTGCACTTAACTCTGGCAGTTTTGACCACCTTCACCCTGAGATCTAATCTGTCGAAACAGACAATGCCTGTGTGTTTTCGGTGTGTGTGTGCAGATAGAGGTCACAAAATCTTTCCCAACACTCAAGAGTTGTTTATCTCACATCAACATGTGACATTTTAAATAAGCCGTCTCCTCAGGTTGTGGTCAAACAATAAGGTGCAGAATTTCTGGCTTTTTTTAATTCTCTAAAAAAAAATGGGGTTTGTTTAAAAAAAAATCTTCAAGTGTTTGGAAATATCTTTAGCTTTCTTTTTGCAAATGTGCAATCTCAGGTCTGCTGACCACATGCTTCTTCAAAACGTTCCTGATTGATATAACAATATCCAGCTGCAGCTCAGACAGAGTCAGGATGTCTCAAAGCCACTGACTGATAGCAGCAGCACAGTCAGGCCTGTTTGGCTTTCGAGCTGAGATGCAACATTCCTCCTCATCAGTACAAGGTTTCATTATGCCATTCAGTAAACATCCATGTGCTGATGTCGGCGAGCATGTTGATGTCTGTTTCTGTGTCTTCTGTTTAACCAAACCATCCCATCTCATTGTGCTGAAGAGGAGGGAGAAATCAGTGTGGATGTCGCACTGCACATGTTTCTGCCCACTAAAGTACAGTGGACAGTATGCAGCTCTGTTAGCTTGACAAGGCCAGTGGGTTCCAGCCAAGCCAACACACCAAATGTGAAATACGTCATCTGGGACGACAGTGAGTACAAGACACTGAGTGTACGTGTGTGTGTTTTGTTGGTCGTTAAACAAGAGCCAGTTTGTCCTGGTCTGTTTATGCTGATATGATCATATCAGCTGACAGTAGTGACTTAGCTGCATAATGCAGTGGAACCTCTCTACTGATTCATGAATATAGTGAATAACTAATCTTTTTATAAGCAGGAGTTAAAGGGTCTCTTTGTGTCTTAGTCGCATGTTAGCATGCTAACAGTTGCTAATTAGCACTAAAAACAAAGTAAAGTTTAGGCTGATGTGAGTGCCAGTTTCGCAGGTAAATAGAAGCAGAAAGTTGCAGGAATACTTCCTCAAAGTCTGTGGTATAAGATAAGATTTCATGGCACACAGCCTAGTTGTACACACTACGTCAGTGTTGTCATGACAATCAACTCTCACCTGAGTCAGAGTGATCATTTTTGCAACCTGGCTGAACTACCGAAAGCCAAATCATCAGCTCTGATCTTGGCAGATACCTTTATTTAAATACTGGCGGGATGGTGTTAGCATGCTCATAGTGACAATGCTAACATGCCTAAGGTAACCAGATGTAATATATACTATGCTTAGTATCTTACGTTAGCGTGTTAGTGTGCTAATATTTACAAGTTAATATATGTAAATACATGACAAAAAGTACAGCTGAAGCTGATGTTTTGCAGGTTTTTGCTTATAAACCAAAAGTACTGGACAAAGTGAAACCTTGACTTGATGGCGCTAGATGGAAAGCTAACATTATGATAATTTCATCCTGAGGAAAACATGAATGCCTGTACCAACTTTCATGGCATAAGCGTTGAGGCATTTCGTTCAAAACAACAGACGTCACCAAAGTCAGTAGAATTCATCCTTCGATCAGATTTGGGCTTTCAGATTGAATCAAATCTTAAAAATAATTTGTGCAAAATGAAAAAAAAAGGATTCTGAAATCGGATTAGAGCATGGAATCTAGTCTTGGTTTGGATCTGGATCAAACCTTCAGTATGTGTTGTTCAAAACTTTTTAGTGGTATTGGGATCCCTTTGATTCTGATTCCAGCAGATTTCAGGCACAAAATGTAATAAAACTTGTTCAGATATATCAAATATATACATTGATTTATA